AGGGACTTGCTGTTCTGTACCTGCAAATCTCCATCCCTCATCAGCCAGAGATATGAAAGCAGAAATCTCATCTATAATAGTCGTAGCATGTACATCCTATTAAAGAGGACAGATAACATATTCAAAAGTGCCTTCAGGCCACAATTTCAGAGACGTGTGTAGTGCTGAAAGATGCAGGTGAAAGACTCCAGGGATTTTCCAAAGCTCCCAGCTGCATCACTCCCATTCATTTCAGTTATTCAAATGAAAAGTTGTTTAATGTATTTGTTCTGGAGCTGAAGTTCCACTTTAAAGTCTGGGAAAGATAATCCCATGGGCTAATTTTTAAAACTGATTCCCAGTTATTTCAAAGGCAAGTGAATTACTAAATACTTGAATAAATGTAGCCCAGACTGAGGCATAAATCCTATTTAGGGTCTATCTCCCTTTGAAATAATGGCAGTTAGGCACCTATCTACTTTGAGGATATGGGTTTTAGCATCGCAAACATTTTGGCCACATATCTATTACATGTTGCAATATCATATCTTTTGTAGTAAAGGAATGGAAAGGAAATTAAAGATTTCTTTTCCCCTGAAAATTGTCCAAAAAATCAAAAAAAAGTACATACTTTGTAGACAAATTCTTCCAAAAACAGATACAAGGATGACAATTCTCAGCATTAGAAAATGAGGTAGTTGAGGAACATTGTGGAGGAAGAAAGACAAAGGATACAAGAAAAAGCTAAAACAGGGTCCTCACTGGGGAAAAACAACCAACCAACCAACCAAAAAACAACATTAAAAAATCATTTGCAATTGAGCTTATTTCATGAGACTCTGCTATTTGGAATGGCCAAAGTATCGTAAGATCCCATGTTCTACCTCTGTCTCTTTAGCAAGTCTGTTTTGAAGATATCCTAAACAGAGGATTGGAGAGGCTGAAATATTCACCCCAATCAACACTGCAGGCCCAGTCAGGCAAATGTAATGGTGTAACCAGTAACCAGGTCTGTTGCTCTTCCCCAGCAGGCAGCAAAAGGCCCACTTCATCCTGAAAACTATTTTAAAGAGGGTTATGAAACGATCAGAGAATTTCAGCCCTGGGGCTGGCTACCACCAGTGCCCACTTGGAGCTCACCGACACCCATTCAGCACCCTGCTCCTCCTCCCAAAACATCCAGCACCCAAATCCTTTTGTTTCTCAAGTGTCCTGGTTTTTAGACAAGAACAAGATAATTCTCCAACACCAGTTCTGGCCTTGTGCTTTTCTAATATTTCCCAAACACTTGTATGAGCAGATAAAATCCCTGGGATTTTTAGCTGCCTTCTTGCTGAAATAAAATTACTTTCCATGTTCTTGAGTAAACGACAGAGCTGGAAGATACTGCCCCAAATATCTCTCCTCTGTTGCAATGCTCCTGCATGTTATACATACAAAGTTAATTTGTGCAATGGGTGGGTACATGCTTGGAAATGCAGAGGACTGTGCAAGCAAATATCCTTCCCAGGAAAAAACACAGCATGATGTACGAGAGAAAACGGTGCAAGCAAGAGGCTGCCCAGGGTCTCCAAGGCGAAAACAATGGTATGTTTTCCAAAGATGGACTGAATGGCCCAACGGTGCTGAGCAGAGAAAAGAGAGGATGTCAAGAGAAACCAGTTTTTGTATGAGGAAATGACTGGAGGATAAAAAGGGGGTGGCAAGAGGCCGAGCTCACTGCGGTGAAATGGCTGGTGTACAGTCAGGCGATACATGGCTGCAGCCCAAAGCGTTAAAAATCCTCTGGCGTCTATCACCATTCATTTGGGAGTGACTTCATTTCCAAACTTTGGGATAAATATCAGCACAACTATTCAAAATAGCCAGGACACCCAGCCCCAGCTTTTCTCACTTTATGGCTTTTAGGTGTGGACTGTAACACATCACTTAAGCAGCACAAAACAGATTTACTGAGAAAGTTATTGCAGCAAGCTTGAAAAAAAATATATTGTTTTGATTGGGTTGGTGGTAGGGTTCCACCCAAGATCCTTGGGAAAAGTTAATTAAGGACAACTGTACATGCCATTACACAGTGAAATCAAGCAAAGTGGGGAGAAACAGCCATGCTGGGAGTTGCTTCTGGAAAAGTGATTTCATGCCTCCAGGAGCTTGGGAATAAGTCAGGCTTCACCTGGGATTTATTTCATTTTTGGAACCACAGAAATTCAACTATTTGATCACCCTTTTATGTCCAGTAAATACTTCCACTATAATTTTATTTACTTGCAATGCATTCTTTGATTTTATGCTTACTACCTTGCTACTGTACGAAGCTAATTGATTTTATGCTTACTGCCATGTTACTGTACAAAGCTAATTGATTACATCCATAAAACCAGTAGGGTACACACAATCTGATGGTTATGGGAGCATCTTCCACCAGATTTAAAAAGACAGATGGCATTTTTTGTAGCTGTCTCTTCTTTTTCAGCTACCCTTGGACCTACACATCTCATTAGAAACATACTGTCTACATGTGACCCCTAACAGCTTGAGACCTCAAGGCTTTTTATATTGAGCCCATTTTCTACAACAACAACAACAACAAAACTACTCAAGGAGGTAGGAGAGAAGACAATGGGGGAGTCACTGTATGGACTTCAGCAAAGGAGATCAAAGCAATGGTCTACAGAGAAATACACCCTGCATCCATCTAGCAATGAGGGCAAGAGCTGGAGGAACTGCCAGCTGGACTCACGCTGCCAAGGGGAAGAAGTTCTGCGTTGTGGTGTCCCTCGACACAATATGGGTCCCCAGCATCACCTGGGATCTGCAGTGACAAACCCTTCCTGTCTCTCTATACTACAGCAATGTTTGGACAGCTGGAAACAGAACTGGTTACCATCACCCATCCCTCTGCTACAATACAGACTCTAGAAATGAGCTGAGTTTTGAAGAAGGGAAGAACAGGACAACACTGATGAGTGTCAAAGACTATTCAGAGCCTCCTCCAGAGCCTTTGTGGATTTTAAACAGCTCTTCACAACTTGGACACAAGGCAAGAGACACATCCTCAGTCCCCAAAAGACATTTTTCTACCTCAGATCTCCCAACAGAACAACTACTGCCTATGCCAAGAGCTGCTACAGCCCTGTGGGTGGGGTCACACAGGCTGCACTTTCTAAACCACTTGCAGAGACAGGATGCTTAAGAGTTGTTATTTCTTACCATTTGTGTGTTGGATGGTTTGCTAAAATTAGGAAAAAGTATATTGCAGAGCAAGAACATTTATGGCTTCTTTACCATTACTGTATATTTTAATCCTTAAAAATAGATTTAAGTGACATGATAAGTAGAGAGTCCTGTTTAATCTATTACAGCCTGTTTGCCACATTCCAGGTTTGGCCTGTTTGGCTTGTTAATTTAGAGATGCATAAAACCATCTGTTTCACTGCAAACTTTGTTTTAAGCCTCAGAGGAAACAAACCACACAAATAAATGAAATTCACTACGTCATTTCTGTTAGAATATATGTATTTACAGCCATCAGAGCAGACACTAAGTACCCTATAACTCTAATCTTAGTGCAGATTTTTAACTATTTACGATACTGTTATAAAAAGTCAGTGCAGCTGAATTTGTATCACACCAGGGATTTTCTTAAATGGTATTCCTCCTCTCATTTAAAGTGACATTCTACACATTGTTAAAAGAATGTAATAAAGAAAGAAAGAAAAAAAACAAACCAACAAGCTTCATCATTAAAAAATATATCTTGGAAAAAATACACCCCAGGCAAACGTACCTAATAGCCTGGATTTCTGTCCCTGTATCCGCCTCTATGGTTTGTAATGCCAAGAAGTCACCTACAGACACTCATCCTCTTGACATGACTGTAAAACTCAGCAGTCATACTCTATTTGTCAAAAACAGACAAGACCTACAATTTTTTTACTCAGCAATATTTCACTGAGAACATACATTCACTGAACCTGAAGTTTTTACTGAAGTGTGTTTTACTGAGAAGAGACTCGGGCTCCAGATGAGAATGAGGACAGTCATCCCTGAATCAGTTGCCTACGAAGGGGGCTGACACTCACTTCCATTTTTTGGCCAGAAGAATAAAATGTACTTTGATTTTGATCTACAGAATCATTGAATGTATTGGGTTGGAAGGAACCTTCAAAGGTCATCTAGTCCAACCCCCCTGCAGCAAGCAGGGACATCTTTACTAGAGCAGGTTGCATGACCTTGAATATCTCCATAGAGATGATTTTTCAAAACTTGATTATTTTCCCACAAAATAAGAGTCCTTGCTCACTGACCAGGGTACTAGAGGGCTGCTGTATCTTCTGCACAGATATTTAGAAAAAAAAAGAAAAAAAAAAAAGTTCTTTCCAATATAATATTCTCTAGTGTCTCCTTTCATCACTATGACACTATATAGTCTGTTGCACAATGTTCTGAAGATTAAATATTTAACTAAGGAAACCCAAAGATGTCAGTCATGGAGTAAATATTATAACAATTTAAGAAAGTCCATGATATACTGCATAACATTTTACTGCAGGGTGAACAAGGACTAGGCAGGTAGCCTGGGACCTAAAGTGACTGTCAAGGAATCAAAGAATTTAACTAAGTAGTTTTAAAAATGTATAAGCCATTCAATAGAGTCTTATTTGAAGACAGTTCTGCAAACCGTGTGTTCCAGCAAGGAGCTTAGGTTAAGGGAATACACATCTAAAACGCAGTGATTTCCAAGAACCTGAGCCCCTGACCCTGTGCCCCTCTCCACCAAAGCACAGAAGCAGGACTTTGAACATTTAAGTCCCATAGTCAGTTTCTTTCTTGGTCCCTTTTTCTTTTTTTTTCCTTCTTCCCTTTTGGCTTTTCTGAAAGTGGCCTGGATTTTCCTCCTAGGACTACTTTATCTCCTGCCATAAGAAAAATCTGTTATGTCTTACTCAAATGTCTAAACCAACCTATATTCACTGTCTCTCGGTGCTTTCCCACAGAGCAGTTAGCAGGGTTGTACTCACAATATTCATCAGGGTCAGCAGGTACTTCTGAACATGTTCTTTCCCATGGAATTGAACAACTGAGTCATCAACCCCCAGAAGGACTTCAATATTGTAATCATCATCCGTCGCATGCCTTCGATAGCGCTGCCTCGATCTGTGCACCTGGTCTTCAATGAAGCTCAACGTGCTGTCAAGACTATCCAAATCAGTGAGGTTAGGTGCTGAAATCAAACAGACAAAGGAGTTATCAACCAAGAGATGTTCAGGCTCAGGTCTCAGCTCAGCTGGTATAAATTTGAAGTAGCAGCGTTTGTTAAGCTCTGTGCGTTATGTAACAGAATTAGTTTCACTTAATGTCAACCGAAAATTACCTGAACGAGAGAGAAATCTGACCTGAAAGATTTTTACTTTGCAAAGTAAAAGCAATACTTTCTACAAAGTAATATTGCATAATAAATACAAGGCCAAAAGCATAGCAAGTCATAGCAATGTCTTCAGGAGAAGAATGGAGCTGTTTGCAGTAAAATACTTACTGCTTAAAAGTACTTGTAACAAAAATACACTGTTCAGGGGTCTTGTGGTACCAAGGATACCCTCCATTTCAGAACCACAATTAAAGACAAAATCTGATCTTACTGCCCACAGAATCCTATTTCAAGGCAAGTGGAGTTGTCAATATAAACTCTTTTATATCCAGGCAGGTAGTAACAAGCCAATCCCCATCACTTCAACACATGAGCTCCTTTCCTAGACACACATATTCAATTCAACAGTAGCGACAGGGATCCTCTTTACCATTACAACTCAGGAACGCATTTTAGATACAAAATTAATTCATTTATAGCTACATTCAATAATTTTTTAACAGCTTTTCATCCCTCATTTCCAATTCATCATGTCATTTTGCATTATTGTATGTCAAAGACAAACACATCAGACACAACAGAAGCTGACTTTATTACTAACAATCTCTAATAGTGTCTGTGATATGAAAAGTACATTCTCTGACAGGATGGGATACAGTTAATGTGGTAGCTATGTACTAAAAATTAACATGAAAATATGGAATCCTGACATTTTACCCTATAGAATAACAATGATTAACATTAATATCATCATTATCATTTGCATTTTGTTGGAAGCCCCAACAAAAATCTCTTGATTTCAGAGAATGTCAGGAAAAGACTTGCTCAGAGAGGCGAAGAAAGGCAGCAAGAGCACTGCGGATTGATTAAAGGCTCCCAGTGCTTAGCTCACAGAAACATAATAGGAAGCAAAGGGAGAAGCTAAAGCCATCACCTTCAAAGCAGAAATAAGAAACAACTCTTGGAAATGTTACAAAAGTGGATTCTCCATCTTCATTTATTGAAGTTTTCACATCAAAACTGGCTGCTTGGGAAGGGATGAATGACTCATCAGATCACTGGGCTCATTACAAGAACATCTGTGCTCTTGCCTTAAGACCGCTGCCTGGGGCTGCCGTTTCAGCAGGTCCTGGGCAATGTGCAGCCTGAGCAGAGTCCCCCGCAGCTCCCTGCCATGGTGACAACAATGTACCAACCTCAACAGCCTCCGGATGCCAGGAGGGACACAAACCCGTCCTCCTTGGTCCCCATTGCCACCTTCCTTACTGCCCTGTGCTTCAGGCTGTGACTTGTGTGGTGAGATGCTTGTCTCTGTGCCTCCTAGAAGAGACCTCCAGTCAAAGGACAGTCCCTGAAAGACATATTTGCCTGGGCGGCTTTTTACCATCTCTCCACCAAGCCCCAAGGACATGCTTGTCATGAAACCCACAGCTGCAGGCCACTGCACTGGCAGAGCTTCCCTCACCCACCAGGCAGACAGAAGACCCTACGCAGTGGTCCTACATCTCCATGGAGCCACAATGTCCTTCTCCTGGGAGGGCAGCATTTAATGCAGCTAATAAGCACAACCACCATGTTCTCATTGCCAGCCTCAAGGCTCTCAGCAGCTTCTGCTCCTGGGGCTGCAAGTTTTTAAAATTAGTTTGGTCCAAATCCATGATTCAGCATGAAAATTCACTCTTCACGCAGAGCCCAGCTGTCACTCCCAGGTTTATCGTGGAGGGGGAACAGGTCTGGCCTTGCAGAAATGAAGACAGCTCTTTATCAAGGCTCAAAACCTGCCAAGCATCTAGCTCCAGCCCTACCTCATGGTTTACTCCACCAGGAAAATTTCTGTGTTAATCCTTGCTAGCACCCAGCAGTAATTACCTAGCACTCACTGCAGTCTCGAGGGATTCGCTATGGGATCGTGGGGCAGTCGTACATTCATGATCTATAAGGCAAATCACAGTTACTGTAAAACTTGGCTATAAATCTTAAAAGCTCTCTGGAAAAGCAAGACTAGGCTGGCAGGGGCTGCAGGTCATGTCCTCTCACTACAGTCACCAGCAGAAAGGCCAAAGCTATCACCCCTGCTATAGCAGAACGGCGGTGCTGGGCGGGTGGGGAGAGCCTGAACCCTGTGGATGCTGATGGGCAGCTCTGCTGCTGGGGCTGCTCTTATTTTGGGGGATGTTGGCTGTCAAGGTATCTGGAGCTTTTGTGCCTTCACTTTTTTCCCCCCTATGTGTCAAAGTTAAAGTAACTCCTAGTGTGGTATCTTCATTCTTGCTGTAAGTCAGCCAGAGGCAAAATGTGATGCTACCATCATCCCTACATTTACCATCGTGCAGCGAAAACTGCCTGTCCTCCCCCTTTGCTCCTCACTTCATCACTGTCACACTGTAGCCCTTACAGTCCTGCCAGTTCCTGAGAAAAGTTATCAGGAGGTTCCCTGGGAGTCATTTCACTGACAGTGGGTGTCAACCAACTACTTTAAATTTTGTTTGGAGCATAAAAGTTCCCCACAGCCACATTTACCTTCACCCTTTGAGTGTTACCCCCTCAAGACAACATGCCCAGTGGACACTGGTACCTCTGAGGCACCGACCCAATGTGCTTCCTACCAGAGAGAGCAAGCCACATCAGCTCCAGCTGGCGCTGGAACCATCCCAAGACCAGCAGCACAGCTCAAAACATTTACAACAGTAGCTGTAAGATTTCTGATTCATATCCCAACTTCCCACCAAGTGTCCTTTCCCGGGAGGCTCTCATGAGACAGCCCAGGATGCCTCCACACACAGCCTGACCACACATCGCATGGACTCCTCCTCCAGCACTGCTCTGCCTCTCAGTTTCCTGGATGATGAATTGCTGGATTTGTTGGCCCATGCTGTGTTATATCCATGTTGTATTTGCTCCGAAATGACAGTTACATCCAAATCAAATTAATACCTTTATCTTTCTGCAGAGGAAGTGACACAAAATTGCATCTACAGTAAATGAGAAATCCGTCATGTTTTGGCATCTCAACTTGCCTTAGTTAACATCAGTAACTTCGCTGTAACATTGTACTGCTCACAATAAGCTAGAAAAGCTCAAGAGAAAAACTCAAAGAACTAAATAAGACACACAGCTTCCCTTTCACATTTGCCACGTTACCTTCCTTCTGATCATCCCTGCACTTTGCACAATAACATCCCAAAAGTCACCTCAAACTGCACTGTGTTTTACTAAATCATCCCAAGACCTCTCCATCAGATGTTCATTTTCAGCAACTTCTGCCAAATCAGTGCACCAGCCACTAATTATTGGTGCCAACTTTGTGCTCCATCTCCCAAGAGCAGACACTTGGCATTTGCAGGAGCTAACAATAGCCTGTGTTGAAACCTTCTCGTTGCTCCCGCTAGGAAAAATTCAAATTTGTTAAAGTTAACTGCTGAGAGATATGGTTGTATTTTTCTCTGGTGTTGCTCATCCAGAATAAATCAAAAGGGGAGCAGCACTTTAACAGTTCACCCCGAAATCCCTCAAAAAAACCCCTTTTTTCTAAAGCCAACTAAAACCATTGATACTTCAGTGATTTTCTCCTAACACTGCAGACCATCTTCCAGTGAAGGAATAAAAAGGGCCCAAGTCATTGATAGAATGGAAACCTGTGCTCCTGGCTTAAACATAAAATCAAGAGCCAGGCAGCCTGGCTTGTTCTCCTGCCTCTGACACAGACTTTCCCCGCGGTGCTGGGAGATGCAGAAGACAGCTGGGCAGCAAAAGCATTGAGGGAAAAGCATCTGCACGATCCAGCACGGTGCTGCAGCCTGGGGTTTCTTTAGGTGTTCTCCACTGGTTGCAGTTAATGCAGGCAAGTGATCCTAACTGCTCCTAGGCAGCAAAGTCCTAGTCTTTTGCTGACTCAAGAAGCAGACAGCATCCCCAGCCATGTGGGGACAACATCCCCACAACATGTGACAGCCCCAATAACACAATATATGTAGAGTCCATTGAAACCTAAAGAGGACAGGGCTTTATACCATACAGGTGCAAACTGCTTACAACAGTGTACATCACACAAGATCCCTCTCCTCTGTTCCCTTCTCCAGGGTAACATGCAATATCCCAATTTTTTACCTAAACTCTTCCGCTTTTCGAGCTAGTATTTTACTTTTTGTATCTGGGCTCTACCCGAGTTTCCATGTTTGCTGGGACCAGAGGTCTGAACACTCAGTACCATGGCAGCATCATGCAGCCTGGCTCCGATCACCATCTCTAGGACAGGGAAAATTCACATTGACACAAACATCAGTTTTACTTTTGCAGATCCTCAGAAGAATTCTCCATCTGTGACAGTTTGGGATGTCCAATGCCACTTTACTTTCTGGGAATTTTTGCCTTGCTCATTAATCTTTAAAATCACGTGCTTTACAGAAACCTAATTACATGACATCTCCTGATTCTGCCTTACCCATGGTGGCAGGCAAAGCTCAAACAGATGCTCTGAGTTACCGAAGCATGAACACGCTGCCTGCCACGAAAAATGCCTCTCCCTGTGTTTTCTATCACTCTCTTTAGGACATCCACCAAAAGAAGAGTTGTTTGCTTGTGACTGTGTTTTGTTTTTTTCATGATCCCTTTCAAAAAGGCTCAGGGAAATATGGCTGCACCTACAGTTCTTAAAGAGTCACTTATGAAGCTACTGCACTTTAATAGTACCAGCTTTAAGGTTCTCCAGTCCCACAGCAGCAATATTGGCCTAATAAAGCAGTTTCTACCTCTTTATCTCCTCTTTCTGGTAAAGGGAAGGGGACTTTCTGGCAAGCCCAGAGCAGAGACCAGGACAGGCAGCTGGGAGGCTGAACTGCGTGCCATGTTCACAGCCATTATCTGTGGCTTGTCAGCACAGCAACTCACTGGAATTTCTTTTCAAATACGAGCATGAAGCATTCAGACTGGCCAGTCACCATTTCAAATGTAGCTTGTTTGCTTTTGTGGACACTTCATCTGTCACAGCGGGAGCAGACAAACACCTGAGCTGACTGCTGAGCATCTTCTCTGCAGCCTCATAAGGATGAGCACTTCTGACTTGCTGCTTTGCTGCTGATCTCCATTCCCAGGACACATTCCTGAAGGGACTCCAGGCTTCCCATTCCTTCGTGTGCCTTGCTGCAAACCACCAGCTTTTTTTTTTTTTTAGGTTTTTTTAACTCCAGTGACTCAAACTGAACACCAGTGAAGCACAGCTGGAGCCCGTTCCATTGCGGTGGCAAGTATATCTGTGCATGCAGCTCTGTGATGGTGCAGAAGCATGGGACACCCGCCCTCTCGGCTCCACTGCAGCTGGTGGCAATGCCACTCCGAGCCTTGCAATCACAGCTTAGGCATGAGGTCATCCATCACTTGGTGCTGCAAAGGCAGGAGGAACAAGCTGTGCGGTAGGGAAGCAGAAGGAGGCAGGATGGACTTGCTTTAGCTTTCAGCTTCCCACTGCTCAAGTACATCTGCACCTCTGGAAAAGAACCAAACGCCCTCGACAGCCTGACAAAGAACTGCTCTTTTGGGAATTGCATTTTAAATCACAAGTCAGCTTTCTGTAATGCTCCCTGCCACTCGTATGCTGTAGGCTTCTGTTGTGTCTGTCCTCTGCGATCAAATGACTCCTCAATTAGCCCCCAATTAGCCTAGTCTTGTATTCTACCAAAATCCTCATTTGTCTTCCATGGTAAATTGAAGCCCAACCTGTGGAGGATGAAGGCAATAATGAGCAGTCAACAAATCTTGCTTTTATCCCCTGGCAATTCTTTCCTCCCATTTTTAAGGTCCTTAGTTAGTGGGTTTGTTTTTCATTCCAGTTGCAGACAATCACGATGTGTCTTGTTCATTTGCTAATCAATAGTTTCTCTGATTTAATTTTTTTTAAAAATTATTTCTGTTGGTTTTCCAGCCCTGCTCACCTTTCTCTTTGCTTTCTGTTTTGTTTTCCAAATGTCCTCTATTTGTCTTTCTTCTCCTCTTTAACCATCCTGCTCAGCTACATTGGTCTTTCATAATTTATAAATCCCATTCCCATACTACAGTCTGCATTTGGACCTTTCTGCTAGAGATCATTCATAAGAAAACTGGGTAAATCCAGCAAGGTGAACTAAAATGGAAGAGAGCTCCTGTGAGGTGAAAGAAAATTGGAAATGGTCTAAACAAGAGAAGCAAATCACACACAGTGCACTGGGTACACGATAAAAAGTTAACCCTGTTTAAAAGGCATTCCCAGGAGGACACTGCCTCAACACAACTTTAACGTGGAGCTCAGTTTTCATAGGATTCTCGTGATTTCTTGCAGCACAGATTAACACAGTGGCTGCAACGTGGTAAATCCTTAACCAAGAGCAATTACTGGAGTAGAAGCCTCTTTGGGTGTGTGTTCAAATTCCTCATCTTCCATTTTTTTATATAAACCAAAAGCAAGATCACACTAGTAGTCGAAAGACCAGGCATGCACCAGGCATCCTCTCCAAGGTTACAAATCCTCGTCCTGCCCTTTATCTGCAAAGAAGCAGTAATCTAAAAGGAAATTTTTGGGCCGCATGCCTTGCTAACCATATGATCTCATTATGAGCTCCCTGCCTCTTAATTTACAGTAATGCCTTTTCTAGTCAAATCACATTTTAACACAGAGCCTGCTTCACCTTTCATCTGTCCAGGGGAAGTTTGTCACGGGTGTCAGGGTAAGGTGGGTTGGGCTCTCAAAAACAGGTCTGAGACTCCAGCTGCAAGAAGGTCAGAAGATACAGCAGCTGAACTCCTGCTGGAATGATCTGGTTGTGGCATTTGAAATCAGGAAGAGTTCAAAGTATTTAACAATATTTCAAATACTGTATATCTGGGCCTTGATAGAGCAATGCCTGTAAACTTCTTGGGGCAGAACAATTCTCCTGTATTTGCAGAATTTTGTCCTTGCAAACACATTGGCACAATCACCGTTCCCTTTCTTTCTTGTCACCTATGCAACAGCACAGTGACTTTAAATCTCAGGACATGCCCAAGTGCCTGCCTGAATCAGAGTTATAAAGAATAAAGAAGCTGAAACCTAGCAAAGTGGCAAAATAGAGGAGAACTTTCAAAACTCAAAAAATAAAAAAAAAAAATTGTCTTTTCCGAAGGATAAACCAATTAGCGCAGTGACAATGTCCAGGTGGACGCCGTGGCAAACAGCCAGGAGAGAGGCACTAAGAATAACCACAGCTAGATGTTGCCAAGGAGATAACTTCTGGCATGTCACAACAAAGAGAGAAGGTATTACAATACTAAAAAGAAAAGTTGAAAACTAAATTGATCTCATCAGGGCCACAGTCACACAATGAGTAACATAAAGATGAGAGATAATTGCACTGTTAAAAGATTAAGTGAGAGAGAGGTAACAGAATACCCCAGGCTAAAACTTTATTTTTCTTTTTTTTTTTCTTTTTTTTTTTTTTGAAAAATGGGGAAACATAATGTGTTACAGTTTTACCTTTCATATTACAACATAATAGTCAAAAAGGGGAAATGAAAGGAATGGCAAACCAGCCAGGCAAACCAAATCTGTGTGACCTGGTTGAAATGGAACTCTTTGAGAACTGTACATAAGGTTTTTCCAACAGCAAAAACTTATCCATTGGAAAATTTTCAGCTATCAACCTTACTAATGCAAACACAGGTTTCACAATTTAGCATCAAATAATGAATGAGCAAGATGCTTTGAACTCAGTGCTTAAAAGTAAGCTCCAAAAAGGGGCAGAAAAGCTACACTGTAGAAAATAAATTTATGGGCCAACTTCTAAGTTTCACTAACTTAATTGATTGCATCTGGGAAAGGCTTATTTTGCAAATATTTTGGCAAGTCATTGTAAACTGGCCTGTATGGCAGAGCCTGTGACTTGCAAAACATGTTGCCTGATTTACCACATCCCACCCGTTCAGAGAGCCCACAGCTGCCCCAGGAACGGGGCTCCGTCCCTCGCAAGCCTTTGAGCGCACGTGTGCACCGCGCAAAGCGGACTTTGTTTTACACGACTCACGTGGAGCTACAATGGGAGTTCAACGCTCTTAATCTCATTTGCAGCTAATGTTTAATTAATTAAATTGCAGAGCTCAGCCACATCTCCACACAGGCACTTGGCATAGAGCCATGGCTCCACGAAGCTGCACGAGACCCAGAGATCCCTCCTGAAGTCCCAAACGCAGAGGCTTCTCGCTTCCCTTGGAGCAAAGGATCAGGATCTGACCCACAATTTACTTTCCCCAACCAGGCTTTAACAAAGTGTTTATGTTCAAGTCTGCTACCAAGATCCTCGAATATCCAATCCATATTCCAAGCATGATTAATTTACAGCAAATTAGCACATTAAGTAAGCTGTCGAGCTGACCCTCTGGCTTTGTAGGTGACATGTCTAACAATCCCACTTGCATTTTTAACAGGATGAAATGCCAAACCATGGTACAGGACCTGAATAACAACAGGTTACAGAGGATGGCAGTTGTCTTTCCATAAGCCAACTATTCTGCAAGAAGGGGAAATTAAGTTTAATTACAGTTTAGCAAACAAACATTTAAAAACACACAGGTTAAAAAAAAAAGAAAAAAAAGTCAAATTCCTAGCCAGGGCAGGGGGAGTGAGAAAAGGGAGAAAGGACAAAGAAATACATACAATAACCATACATCATTGTGCATACTACTGGAAAATAATGGCTGAAGCAAATATGTATCTTTCCAATTGTTTTTAGCCATAAATGCAGAAGAACAAATCTTGCCCTTCAGTAACATTTCAAAGCAGAATTATACAATCTTTTTAAAAGGGGAGCTCGTGTCAGGTATGAAGTCTAACAAAGTTGTAAATGATCCAATTAAATGTTTTCAATGTCAAGTATAATGAACACTGTATAAAACTCATCAGTGTAAATAACATGTCATGCAAATGACAATGCAAACAGCTCCTGTTCTTCTATATAATCATAATGATCTTTTAATTAGACAAAGTAAACGATCTGCTCGTTTCACCTTGTAAAGAAAAGCATGGGAAGAAAGTTTTCCAAATTCTAAGGTGAAAAATATGTGCAACTTGAACTACTTTTAAGTTCAACCAACTTCTTGTACAGCTCAGCATATTGTGCCAGAAATCAGCAGTGAGTCAGAAATAAAAAGGCTAATTTGAGTTTCACAAAAAGAAAACATCATCCGGGCAGTCTGAGCAAAGGCAATGGGATGTACGATGCCTTGGCTACTTACACTAGCAGG